CCGTCCGTCTCCCTCTATCCCTAAAGAAAAAACTGGAAAACAATGACTATTTCCATCCGATACCTCATCGCAGATACAATGATGATGATTGAAAAATAATGAAAAAGAAAAAAAATACACTCGTACAAAATAATATTAAACGTAATAATAAATTAAGCCAGTCGCTGTTGCCAAAATTTCCACACAAAAAAAATGTTGGTGCGAACAGACGAGGAAAATAAGTTACAATTGATTATTTAAATAAAAACGGAGGGACTGTAAAAACAGATGTAAAAAAACGAAACTATAATTAATTAAATAATTAAGTAATTAATTGTTTTTTTTCCTTTCTTTGTCGCTTTTAAGTAATGCTTTTTTCATCGTTTTGTTTATCATTCGAAATGAGACTTAAAGACTAAAATGAAAGGTGTGGAATACTGATGTAAAAAAAAATAGAGAAAGAGAAAAAAAAACCACATGTTCTTTCTATGTAATACGAAGCCTTTCGCTAACACTGCCAGAGAAATGATTTTTGTTTCACTATCAAACCCATGGCATTCTTGCAACTAAAGTCTTAATTATTAACGACACTATCATATATTTATATATATTCATATGGTATTTTTTTTTACTTTTTTTTCTCGTTTTGTTTCAATTAATATCAATCGTAAAATAGCAATACTCGGTCATCGTACGTTATATAAAAAATATCATTTTAATTTCATTAGTAGAGAGCCTCCAATTCTATATTTATACTCTATGAAAGCCTAACGATTCCTTCCAATTCCCCCCCTACAGAAAAAAAAAATTAAGTAGAAGAACGGATTTAGTTATTTAAGGCAATTGTCTTCTAGACGGAATAAATTATAAAATAACATGTTTATGATTCGAATAGTGACGAGAGTCATCAAAAATGCCTGATGAATTAAACTGTCCATTAGTAGCAGAGTCACGTGGTAATAGCCATTTGGTCTTTGTTATGTGCTGTAATTTTTTGGATTTCGTTTGTATTAAAATTGAAGTATTCCATTTTAGGTGAAAATGTGAGAAAATATTTTTTATAGAAGATTTCATCAGTTATAAAAATGTTTCGTGACATTCTCTTCTAAAATCATTCGTTGTCGGGATAATTGTCATTTAACAAAACTTGAAAAATCGAATTGCAATTCTAAATTGATCTTTGTAAAAAGGTTCATTGTTAGTTGTGAAATTATCCTGGTCAGGAGTGGGTTTTAGGGAAAAATGTTAAAAACAATTTTTTGTAGAGAATTTCATAAACTACAAAAAAGGTCTTTTGATATTTCCGTGTAAAATCACTCGTAGCCGAAATAATTCCCAAATAAACAAGATAAAAAATATCGACCTGCAATTTTCAATGAATTTATGTTCAAATGTTAATTGCGAATTTAAAAATTATTTCAGGGAGGGGTGGGTTTACAAAGGCATCTGCGAGAGCTTCTTATGAAGAATTTCATCAGCTATAAGCAAAGTCTTGTGACATTTTTCCCTTATGTCACTCGTTACTAAGATAATTTCATATTCAAAACAACAGTTACGAATTATCCCTTGATCACCATAACGAGTGGTAAAAAAATCGTGAAACCTTTTCATAGATAATTCCATCAGCCCCAATATTTTCTCTCCACCCTCATTAACCGGATAATCCCAATAAACAAAATGGAATATTCAACTTCAATCCAATAATCGCCTGAACCAGAAACATTCTCTAAATAAATTATGGCGAATAAAATAATACACACGATTGAACGTTTGAACCGAATAGCGAGAGGAAGTGCACAATGGAAGAATCACATTTCACCGAAAAATTCGAATACCCCGAAATTTTCTTGATTACTTAAATTCCCAATCATCTGAAAAAAAAACCCCGATTACTAAACCGAATCCGCAAAACTGAATCAATCTCTCATTTTCAATAATTAAATTTCTCGCCATGTTCGTATACGTCTGTGGCCAGAATATCATTCGTTACGAGCACATAATATAGAATATCATATATATAAATACATTTTGTTTCACAATAAAACTGTTTGTTTAATTAATAAGGCTGCATGGATGGGGTAACTACCCCCTAATAGTCCAAGTCCCCTCAAAAGAGCCTCAAGCATCCAAATCCCCTCAATTATCATTACCACCATTGAAACATCGTTGTTCAGATCAACAAATAACGAATAAAAAATGTTAATTTGTCTTGTTCGATGCCCTTAACTATATCTATGTTACAAAGACTAAATCTATTTTTGGCAAAGTTATTTAGGTATTATGACATTAGAATAATTAACGGTTACATGAGTAAATGCACTGGCCATTGTTGTATCATTTTCCTGTGTTGTTCACCTTTAGTTTACATTTTACTGTTCAATGGTTTATTTTATCGTTCGATATTCATCTTTTCAATCTGCCCAACAGAGATATTTCAATGATGATTGGGGTTACTCATGATGAAATTGAAATTCAGTGGTACTTGAAATTATTCCTGAACGACTTGGCTGTGTAAATTTGTGATTCAATAGATCTCCAAAGCGAGTATCATTTAATTATTTAATTGTTATTAATTCCTGCATATTTTTCTGGCCATCCTGTAAGTATTCCTCATCTTTAACTCCGTTATTTATCATTATTGCTTAGGTTCTCTGTTCGTTTTTCTTTTGTTGCTTGCATTAGTACAACTGGCATGTACGTAATTAATCATTTTTTAAGTACACAACAGTAATTAGAATGACCTTACCATTTTCAGTGAGATAATTATGATGGTTTTTCGCATTTTTCATTTTGATCAACAATTTTAAAATACAATTTAAAAAGAGTTATCGGCACTTGTTAGCGTATAAAAATCCTACATTTTTGTTTCATTTTGTTTTTTTTTTAGAAATTTCTTAATTCTACTCAGTAAGTAAATTCTCCGCTTTTTAAATTCTCTCTCGGGGGGTAGAAATTATTTTATCAGTGAGAAATAGCACTTTATGTGATAAAAATCATGTATGGCGAATCACATTGACACTGGCAAATAATAATGATTCGGTAGGGATGTGGTTAATGTCAAAGACCATTTTTTGTGAAAAATTTCTCGTTATGAAGACAATTCCGTAATTCAAATGTAACATTTTCGGGATTAAAAAAAAATCGTTTTTACAAATCACTAAATTTTTTACGAAAAACTTCTCTTGAAGCCATTTAGTTATAGAGATCTCTCCATATTTACAACATGTGGAAACGTAATTAGTCCAATTATAAAATTCTTGACAATCTCAAGAAAATAAATGAGTTGAAATTGATTACATTTCTTGACGTTTTCTTCTAAAACCAGTAATTATCGAAATAATTTTATATTTAAAAATTAAATTAAATCTGTTACATTTCACCACATCCCTATTTCATCAATTCAACTTCAAGAACCCCAAGTCACCCTGAAAACTGTAAATACCATATCATTTTCACCCGAGTCACAAGTGCAAACCTGCATTTGAATTAAAGCCCCAAAAAAAACGAATGAAACTGGATAAAATCACCCCCAAAACCCCCTCGTTTCAAATTTAAAAAAAAAATAAACATTTTAAAAGAGTATTATTGTTCTTAATGTCAGCTAAACAGCCCGTGGAACAAAACGAAAATAAATAACTCATCAACTAAAATTTCATCTCCAATTACACGAGAGGAAGCGAAATAAACGCCTCAAAAATTCATCCACATTAAAACCGAATAATTCAATTAATCAAAGTATCAATTAGAAGTAAACCGCAACCACACGTTCTAATTTTTCAATCGCATAAGAAAAAACAATTGTTAAGTTTGCGCGTGTATGTACAATTAATTCATAGTTATTCCCATCAACTCGTAGAAAAATGTTCAGCTTTATAAAAAATATTTATCCTTTGTTAAGTATATCATTTTAACATTTATGATATTGTTCCTTCCCACGACTTTCGTTAAACGTTTTTTTTTAATTCTCTTTATCTTTCGCATTTAATACTGCTTTTTTAATATCAAATTTTTAAAAATAATGCGCTCTGCACCACGGGCCCGAATTAGCTCGATAATTGAGTAATGCCAGTGGAGACAAAGTCAAATACAATGATCAATGAGTAGCTTGAATCACGTTAAATTGAACAGAATTTTTTTCAAAAAGTGAAAAAAATCCATCATTCCCTCGTTTCTTCAATGTCCATGAGTGATTGTTTGTCGTAGAGAGCATGAATTCAATATCTTTAACCGCGAAATAGTAAAAATGAGTAACGAAATAATATAATAAGGCAATGTCGATATGGAAAAAAAAACGTAAATAAATGACATTAAAATGTAACAAGAGAGCAATAATCTCATCGTATTCACTGGATCAGTGGGCCTCTTCCGATAATGACGTTGACACTAGATTAAGTGGTACATCAGAGACATTCTCGTCGTCACAATCCTCCATATCCTCCGAATCATGGCGTTCTCTTGGCTCTGGTTTAACGTGCTGTGCAAAGTTTAGGGCATCACTCGAATTTGTTGTACTTCCATTTGTACCGTCACGAGTAACACGACTAACTAGATCTACCGAATACATGTGAGGTGTACTCACGTGCATCATGTATGTGGAGAGGGGAAGGGGATAATTGAGTTGGCTTGTTGGTGGATGGCCTGAGGACATGTGCGATGGTGTCAGAGCTGCCATCATCAAGTGGGGCTGAATCTGACGACGAAGGGCTGCCAGCATGTCCGCACTTTCTGCGTCCATCTGGTCGGCGTGGGCTGGCGCTATAGCTGCCTCTTTTTCTGGAGGGGTTGATAAATTTTTTTATCAATTTTTCTTCAATAATTCAGTAGCAAAACAATAAAACATTTTCAATCATCAAATTTGTCAACTAAATTGCGTCTTTCAAATGACATTTTGCACTGAATTATTATTATTTTTTAACACTCGTTGTTTATAAATTAATATTATTTAACACTCGTTACATTAATTATTATTATTTTTTAACACTCGTTGTTTATAAATTAATAATTGAAATTGTTTAAATTTTCGAAAACCGTGTTTTTTTAGAGATGAAATCGATTTCTGGTAAAATTCTCAATATAAAGAAATTTGTTGCAATTTCCATAAAATAATTTTTATGGTTTCAACGTTGGATTCAACCATTTTCAATCATCAAATTTGTCGATTAAATGGCGTGAGAAAAATTGGGAAAAAATCACGAATATTCAGCGTCATTCAAATGACATTTTCCACAGAATTATTATTTCTGTAAACATTCATTGTTTATAAATAAATAATTAAAATTGTTTGAATTTTCGGAAACCTCATTTTTTTGTGGCATGAAATCGAAAATTAAATTTTCTCCTCAAGTCACCCGTCATCAAGACAATTAAATGCACGTGAAAAATTCAATAGTTCACTCACTTCGATGCCTCGTCGGTTTTTCACCCTTCGGTCGACGTCTACGCGTGTGAATGGTGTCCCTCCTCATGGTATGTGGTCTATTGATACCATGCAATTTGTAGTAAAGTCCACACGCATTGCAAACCATCTCTCCCTTCATGTTACGCCGCCAAATAGTCGTCGTCATCGTCCCACAATTTGTACAGGACATGTCCACTTTTTTTGTCATGTTGCCACTCTGCTGGTCAAACTGATGCTTCTGCTCATCGCCCTTGGTGATAAATATCGAGGTGAAATAATTGAAACAATTGCATGCAATGAGGATGATGAATTTATCAGGGAGTGATAGAGATTTTACCTTGCTCTTCAATTTATTCGACCACGTGAAATTTTGTGCCTGCTCATCACTAATATCCTGCTGATAATTCATCGTGTCTGGACTCGTCGGTGCTTTACTCGGGTAACTCTGTTTTCTCCTACCTTTTGTCTCTTTCCTACCAATACTGGCTGGACTGGACGGATTACTGTCCATTGATGCACTCTGAAATAATTAAAATTGTTAAAAAAAAAATACTTTTTGCGAACGAACGATTAGGGGGAGAGAGTAAGATAAAATGATTCTCCATATGTTTATATGTTTATGGAGACCCATTTTATCTCACTTCTCTCAATCCATGTCTCGGGTTTATTTTCAAGTTCGAAGTAAAAAAGTCAAAATGAAAAAAAGTCGATTATTATTTTTTTTCATTATTTCCAGACGGTTTCAAATTTTTTTCGAGCATCTATTTGAGCAGATCCACGCCAAATCAGCAGGACAAAAAAGCCGATGCTGAGAATTCTAGTCATGATTCTTTTCAGAACAGTTCGCGATTAGACGAAAATTTTGAAAAACGAATAATTGAAAAATATGGATAATTGGGGGAGTTATGATTTTTTGAAAATCGCTAGTTTTGCACCAAAAATTGTCAATAAAACGTAATTTCGGCACCAATTAGAGTTTGTCTTTTGTCCTAATTCGGCGGTTATTAATTTTTTCATTGATACAAATATTGAAAATATTATTCATTCAATTATCGCCCAAATAAGTGAATATTCAATTGAATATTAGCAAATGGTGGAGGTTAGACTCATTATATTTTCTATTTTCAAGTAATCCCAACTCTCTCAATTATCAACATTTTCCGCTTTTTTTTCAAAATTTCTGTCTAATCGCCACCTTTTCAGAAAAAAATTGATACAAAAATACCCAGCATCGACTTTTTTCGTGTGGATCATTTATAAAAGGATAATGCATTTGAATTGATGATATTTATAAATAATATAATGGGGATTATCCATTAATTTCAATTTTTAATAACACTATTGATAAATATGTTGAATGTATCTACCTACGAGTGTCCTCACCCTAGGTACCACATAAAACATCAAAAAATCCCTTTGCAGCCCACGAAAGAGTTAACCCCCTCCCTCTCCCTATCAACAAAGATAACCCAAACCCCCTGGCCCAATACATCAAGCGAATTTCCAAAAAAAATCCCTATCTTATCCTCCACCTCCCCCATCCCCGATTTGTCAAAATCTCCAAAAGATAATATTTCACGCGGGTACCAGAGGGCAGGTATACAATAAACTAATCCCAGCAAAATCCCTCAATACCTCTCCCCAAAACTCTATTTACAACCCAATACAGAATACTAGTGCCAAGTATTTCCATTTATCTCCAAAAAAAAGGTGAACCCACTGTAATGGAAAAATCCACGAAAGAGGAAGTACTACCAGACCCCC